ATGACCTAGAACTTAAACAGATCTTTAAGACATAAGCTGCAGAAAGTTGCTTTAAATTAGCTCTTAGTGTCGTCATTTAAGGAAAAGATTTGTAAAGATTAGAGTTACTAAAAAGCTCATAAAGATTACAAATGTTAGAAGGAGGACTTTTAATCTGCCTAAGAGAATCTGGAGCAGAGAAGATGCAAGAAAAAGAGAGAGCTGATTGGTCGATTCACCACCTGAACAGTGTAGAAAAGAAAAACGCCTTAAAATACAGATATGGAGATAAGATAACCTCGAAAATTCCAATAGAGTGTTAAAGGTGCACCTGCAGTAATGTATTTTCATTAAATATGAATAAATAAAAAGTTTAAATAAAAAAAAAACACTAAAATGTAGACATATTTTAATAGAGTTGCAGACTTTAAAGGGCTTTTAAGGATAAACCTTTTAGAGGAAATAGGAAAGGTATCAGAAAATATATAAAAGCAAATATTTTCCACAGATGACTGGAGGGTTCAAACCTCAGCTCAACAGAAATACTGACGAGTACAGCCTCCAAATTTTACAAATAAATCATAAAGGACAACACTTTTTTTTCCCCCCAAGTCCTTACCTATGAATTAATGCACATATTAATACATTTAAGTTGCCTGAATTAAAGAAGTGGTTGATCTTTTTTATGTCATTTTATGTAGTGTTTATTGAACAGGCTAAACTTTATGATGTGCTCAATTTAGACAACTTTTATTGTTGTTTTGTATAAACAGTATAAACGAAACGTACAGCTAAATATACGTATATGGTGCAAATATGCAGTATTTTGGTTTGGTGCTATCAGTGTGATGCAGAGTCTGTGACAGGGATTAGTTGTTTTTTTTCAACAGTTCAGCAGTCACTAACTAACAGAGATGGCAAAAGTACTCACTTTCCGTACTTGAGTAAAAGTACAGATACTTGTGTTAAAAAATACTCTGGTAAAAGTGGAAGTACTGATTAAACTTCTTTACTCAAGTAAAAGTAACAAAGTACAGGCTTGTAAATTTACTTAAAGTATAAAAGTAAAAGTAGAAACCACTTTTTTCATGCCGTTGCCTACATTTTAAATGGATGTCTGCCAATAGGACTAGATCTCCGTTGTGTTCATTTTCAATCATCTCGTCGTCCATGCTACTATGCTAACGCCACCGCCACCAAGCTGCAATGATTTGCCGCCAATGGATACCGCCGAATCTGTCGATTCATCTTGTAGTGGTGCGTCAAATGCAACGTAGATTCCCATCCAATTAGATTGAATTTGGTATTGATGACGTGAAAAATAATAACGGTAACTCCATTGAAATGATTCAAAACTAAAATAACGAGCCAATTTTTTAAAATGTAAGGAGTAGAAGTAAAAAGTCGCCATAAAAATAAGTAGTAAAGTAAAGTAAAAATATCAGAAAAATCTACTTGGGTACAGTAACGAAGTATTTGTACTTCGTTACTTCCCATCTCTGCTAACTAACTAACTAACTAACTAACTAACCCCAGTGTGAACATTCCTGCTGCACTTGTCAAGATTTGGTTAATGAGTGAGTTGACCCAAAAGCAGAGGCAGAGAGGCAGAGGTGAATCTGTTGTGGATTTAATAAAGACTTGACAGAAAACAGAGGCTGGTTATCCAAAAATCCAAGGAAAACAAAACAAGAAACCAGAAGTCCAAAAATAAAAAAAAAACATGAAAACAAGTCTAACGTACCAGAAACCTTGGGGAAAATCAGGGGAATCACAAACATGACAAGGAAGGCACAGAGAGAAGGAGTTGGAGCAAGCAGACGGTGTTTGACGAGGACCCAGTAAAGGGGAACTGAACAGAGAGGGCTTTTAAAGGAGACTGAGACAAAGAGGAGGCTAATGAGGAAACAGGAAACAGGTGTGCACAGAACAAGAGGGAAAGAGCTAGGGAAGAAGGAGAACACAAGAGGGCAGCAGAGAGCAACAAATAAAAACCTGGCAGACTGGAAATAACAAAATGATAATCAAATAACTAGGATAATGAAACATGGTGAAAAGAAAACTAAACACTAGAAATCAAGGAGTAAGGAAAGACAGAATACTCAAAAGAAAAACATAACAGAAACAGAAACCTAACAGCACTAGTGTTTTTGTATCCAGTTAGCGTCAGTTTGACGCGTTTATTATAGCTCCACTGCTGCAAAGTTCATAACAAGAATGGAAAAAGGAGATTATTTGAGGGATTCTTCCACCCGATGCAAGACGAGCAGGTAGGGAGGTCTTACACACGCACAGTTATTAAAATGTGATTATCTACTGTACATTTACATAAAAACCCTCCTTTATACCTTTAATCGATTATAGTTTCATATGATATTTATATACCAATAATAATACAGACATTAAATTGGTTTAATAGTAATATAAATTATAATTATAAAGTAGACTCCTAGATGACGTACGGAAACCATACTGTACCTTTGCCTTCTCCCAAAAAAACAAAACAAAAACTTTTGAGGCTAATTTCTGTATTTCTGGTCTTTAATGTTTGTATATTGATGTGAATAATTCGATACTGTGTTTTCTGTCAAATTACCATTAATATACTAATTTAAAAATGTAAAAGTTCCGTAAAAGGTAAAAAAACAATCCACTGGACTTGGTTTGCAAGGTTTGAAGGCGTTTCACTTTCCCTCCAGGAAGCTTTCTCAATTCAAAATGAGAAAGTTGGTGAATGTTTAGTTAGGGCGATACTCTTGAGAGTATCACTGCTGCCACCATGTGGTTTAGAGAGGAACTGCTTGGTGCAGAGGTGGGGAGTTTTTGATCAACAATCTAGTTATTGTTACTAGGGAAAAAATATTGAAATGTATTAGATCAAGAAAATTATATGGAAGATGATCAACTAAAAATAATGAATATCTATAGGTTAATTTACATGTTACATTTAGACTATAACTAACTAAAATACAACAACAAAAGGAATAATTTATGGATTTCATTAAAGCAAAGAAAATATACTACTTTAAAGTTGACGGATATTGTTGACGGATATTGTTTTTTGTATTGTATATATTGTATTGTTATTGGTTGAATGTGTCAGGATTTTATCCAAAGATCTGACCCACTTGCAGAAAGCCAAACAGAGAGACCAGGGGAAGGTTTAACAGATTTATTGTGAGTTGGTAGAGAGGAGTCCAGTGCTGCTCTGAACACTGGCGAACCGAGACTGAAAAGTGAAGGGGAAGATTCTGCGGTTAGTTCATGCTCAGTGGGAAATTGGTGTCTTTGATTTGAAAATGGGAATAAGGGCATCAGGACTCACGTTTCCAGAAAAAGGTGTCATTTGTTGAATCCAGTCGGTGTGGGTTGTTCCAGTAATAGACTTGTTCGTTGGAGGGCGGACAGGATTAACCAGGTTGAGGTGTTTCCTTTAGGAACGGAGGAGCTGACTGCCACTTAGATTTCCTGCGGTACTTGAACGTTTTCATGTGGAGATGAATCCCCTGCTCAGAGAGAAGACCAAACAATCCATGGGGGAAAAGTAGATCCAAACCACCAGTTTGAATCCTCAGCTTAGAGAATCCTTCCAGGGGGGAGAAGGTCCAAAACATCCCGTTTGCAGGATGACTTCCCAAAACTGTCAAACACTCTTGTGTCGAGGTAGTGGCAGTCTTAGCTTAAGAGTCCTCTAATGAGGCAACCATCCGCAGGTGTGTGAGAGGGCCAATGAGAACCAGGCGCCACCTGGTGGTTGAGGGAAAACACACAAAAACACAACCCACACAAACTGGATTCCTAACGGAATTAACTTCATTCATTCTAGTCGTAGAACATATTTTTTAATATGAAATATATGCCATCAATCCGATTAAATCAAACCAATTAATCATATTTATCAGTGAGGGAACAACTAAATCACATGGCCCCCTCCGGCCCCCCTTCTAGCTGGGCCCCTGTCTGAGAGGACTCTATGAATGCAAGTTCTGGATGTTTAAACAGCCTCCTAAAGCTTTTTTTTTTTAGCTCCTAATCTAATCTGCTTTGTTCATTTTACTTTTGCCCATTATGCTGTAACTAACAGAAGTGGAATAGAAACAAGGTCAAAGCTAACCAACAAATGCTGGAATTATGCTCCATAAAAGTGGCAGAAAGGATTGAAAAATGGTTTTTGTTCCAGTCTCTGCCTCTACCTTAATTTGTTTCTCTAAAACACCCGGCGTTTTTATTGATTTAAACTGCATGTCCTATTTCTCCTCTTTTTCTCCCCAGTGTGTGTTGAAGTTGAAAAATTGCTTTAATTTAGGTGGATACAGCTTTCTCAGTGTAATTGTGGCAGCGCTTTATTTGTCATGCAAGCAAATCTGCTCAGATGACAGTTTTCATTCGTTTGTTGCAGCAGGTGAATTAATGTCGGAGTAAAGCCGAAGTAAAATTCATTCTGTATCCGTTCTGTTATATACAGATGTGGCAGTTAACGATTGCTGGGATACATTTCAATGAAGCAGACTACAGCAGTATGGTTTTACTGCTGTAATCAAAGAGTGAACGGATGAAGATGTACACTGGATTAGAAGGCATAATTAATTGCTTGGAAGAAAAAAAAAATCTCTCCCAGCAGGCGAGATTTCTTGCTGACTCAGCGGTTTTAACCATTAAATAAAAAGAACCTGAGAAAAGTGGATAAAGATGCATTAATTTGAAAACATGACTGAATTTTTAATTACGTTAAATGTACGTCAGGGTAGAGATTGTTTTGATACCAGAATGGATTTATTCTTTATCATTGCATCTTTTAAAGGCAGGCTAAAAGAAATTTAAATACAGAAATTTTAATTCTAAAGATGCTTTAAAATCCTGATATTATTAAATCCAGACTTTAGTGTTTTTTTAAATGTAATCTAGAATCTAAAAGATTTCTCAAAAGTTGCAGATTTTGCTTTTCTCTTGGGTAAAAATTACTTTTGACCTAAAAATGTGCTCTAAAGTTGTTTCCTTTTGTTTTCTCGGTTCCGGTCCAGTGGCCTGTCAGTGGTCCAGCTGGTTGCCATGGAGTCCGTGCTCGGCCAGCTGTGGTACCGGCCACCAAAGCTCTACCAGGACGGTTCTGCAGCCCAGCCTATATGGAGGAGCCCCGTGTGAAGGCTTGAACATCCGAACTAGAAGCTGCGTTGCTCCTGACTGTGGTGAGTGATTGCAGATTTCTGGTCCTTAACAGACCCCTTAATTTTAGATGTTCTTAGATATCCAAAGCTTTTTAAAGCACACAGTGGGTACGGGAGTTACGGCCTAATGGTTGGGGCATTGCACTTGGAATCCAAAGGTTCAGAGTTCGAGCTCCACTCCCACAGACTGCCCTGCTCCCTGGCGCTGCACAATGGCAGCCCACTGCTCCCCAAAGGGATGGTTAAATGCAGAGAATGAATTTCATTGATCTGTACTTGTGACTGTATAATGACAATAAAAAGCAGGGAAAAAAAGTTTGATGCAAAAACATTTGTTGCTAAACTTAGTCTGTACAGAACTGTCTCTGTGCTTGAGATGACATGTGTTTTGAACAAATAAAGTTCAATTGAATTAAGGCCCATTCATCCTTCTCTGTAACTTCTAGAGGTAGAGTAACCCAACTGTTTCTTCTCCATTGACTGGATTTGCTTCCTTTGCAATTTTTTGCAAATCAAGAGGGGGGCACACATTCCAAGAAAGGAGATGATTCTTTAGTACCGTCACGACAGGCTGCATGCTCATTATCCTTGTTTGAATAAACTACTCGTAATACTCTCCATGTTCTGTTTTACCTGAGAACAGGTCAAAAGGTCAACAGTCTCTGCATCGACTCCCAGACTTTCCTCACACAAAATCTACCGGCCCAGTAAGAGGTTTAGTAAGGCTTCTTGTTTTGAGAAGTCTTGCCAACCAAGACTTGCATTGACAGTCACTGTTGCAGTAGGTCTACACTTTCTCTAGCATGCATTGAGTCACCCCCCTTCTCTCATTGGGAGGGATGTCTGAGCCACCTCCTCTGACTCCTCTCGATGCAGATGTGAAGCAGCTTTACTCCAAGTATCTCTAACAGAAGGCCCTTCCACCCTGCAGAGGAAAGAACTATGACTTGGGACGTAGAGGACTTGATCTTAATTCTTTTGCCATTTTTGAAATTGCGCCAAATGCTCCACTTGCTCTGTTCCCCAGTAAAATAGAAACTGATACAAAGGAACTACCAATAGACCCAGCCGGCTGTAGCTCGGTGTTTGGATGCTCCGAGTTTTGGACGTAGCAAACAGACGGAAGCAGATCTCTGTTTTGAAAGAGACAAAAAATAAACATTTTGGTTTAATATAAAGTACTGGTGAAAGATAAACAAGGCTGTTGCAGCATCATTGTCATGCCATAAGCTGTGATTTTAATTTTGAACATTGGTGGAGGAAGATGTGGTTTTTCTTTGATTTGCAGACCCCAGAGTGCACCACTCCCTCTGCAGAACACTCCGAGAGACCAAACATAGCGACAAGTGATTCCTTCACAGAAACTTAAGAATCAAGTATCTAAACAGCTATTGATTTCTGATTTTGCTGTCATGATCTGGCCTGTTTGCTCCTCCTTAATTAGTAATTCCTTTCACCTGTCTTTTTTTTCCCTCCCTGCCTCAATTATAATTTATGTCACCTGTTTCTTCAGGGTTAAATTCTGTTCAGCCTGAGCATTCGGGGCCAGATCATTATTTGTTCTTAGTTAGTCGTTCTGTTCAGTCTGTTCTGGCAGCCAGTGGAAAGAGGGTGTTTGTGTTTGTCTCGTCTCCTGATCGTCCACTGTTCCTCCCCTGCAGAGTCCTCTGGGTTTTTGGCTCAATATGGGGGGAGGTTCAGTTTTTATCTCAGTAAGCTTAGCTCCAGGGAGGAGACCAGTTTAAAGTCCTGCATCAAGTTCTGGTTCCATGTCCTGTCTCGGCTATCCTCTGCCACTGAGCCTGCTCATCTGCACCTGATTCTGTCTGCTCCTGTGCGTGACCGTCTGGCCACGCTTCAGAACTCTGTCTGACTCTAAACCTGTCTGGGAGCTTGTTTTTGCCTTAAAGTCTGGATCCTGCCACCTGTTTCTGTTCCCGCCTGATCTGGATCCCGTCTGATCTGTCTGTTCCGAGCCGCGTCAGCTGTCAGCCCATCGGCTGGATTGCGCCCAAGCCTGTCCTGGACTGGCAGACGTCTTTTTTTTTTTCCCTTCGAACTCAGCGTAGCCAGCTTTCTATTATTCCTCTATCATTCTGTCAATCATACAATTCAACCAATCAACGACTAAAGACAACATCCAATCAAACAACAGAGTGGGCGGGAGTCGCGGGACACTGAGTCAAACATACTTAACGTTCACACATGCTTTAAATACGTCTGGTCACCAACCAGCGCGCGTCGGTATGGATATTCGGGCTTATTTTCAAAGCAATAGAAGGACTAGTACTGAAAACAGAGCAAATGAGAATGGCCAGGAAGCAGTTTCTGCTGGAAATGTAAGCAAGACAGTCAGCACTGAAGTAAAAAAAAACGCTTTTCCAATCAGTTTATTTTTAAATAAATCAAATGATGACAATAGAGTTTCAGGTGCAATATAATCATTCCAGCATATATGTGATCTATGTGCCTGGACTGGGTCCAGCTTGAATTTACACAGAAAAGGTTAGCAAATACATCAGCTTTACATTTCCTAAAGCAAACCTATTTCAGTGCAAAGCTCATCTAAAAGGGGCTAATAAGATATATGAAAGTCTTAATGCTGTTTGTTTCCCAGTGTAAATATTAGTGTTGCACCGATACCAGTATCGGACGGGGTCCTGATACTGCCCTAAAATGGTGGTATCGGTATCAGCGAGTACCAACAAAGAGGGCACCGATACCATTTTGAGAGCCATACGTTTATTCAACTATTGTCACCCACTCCTGGTAGGCAATAAAAAGTTCTACTGGTTTCACTTTGTATTAGATTTTTTCCTGCTTCACAAAGGTAGGCAGAAGCTTGACAAAGCCATGATGGCAATTATTTTAAATTATTATGGTATCGGTATCGGCCGATACTGCAAAGCCAGGTATCGGGTATCGGTATCGGGGCCAAAAAATTGCATTGGTGCAACACTAGTAAATATTATATATTGCATGCTTTCTCTTTGCGGGCTGCTCAGTGGCGCAGTGGTTAGCACTGCTGCCTTGGAGCAAGAAGGTTCTGGGTTCGATTCCTGGCCCTCTTTCTGAATGGAGTTTGCATGTTCTCCCTGAGCATGTGTGGGTTCTCTCCGGGTACTCCGGCTTCCTCCCACAGTCCATAAAACATAGGTGTGAGTGCGTGAATGGTGTATGTGACATCATTGAATCGTCCTACTGATTATGGTTTTTGGACATTTTTATTACTCTTTCTTTGAATGCACAATAGCTTAGTGTTGTTAATTTTCACTAGTGTAGTCAAGAGATTTTAACTCTTAATGACCGGGAGTTGATATTTTTTAAAATAAATTCTCATATTTTGGATGAAAGTTGTGAATGGGTTCCACACATGTGCAAATTTAACTTTTTGAACATCATTTGAACTTGATTCAAAGAGCCAATTAGCTGTGTGTTCACAGAACAACACATGACATTAACATAAGTTAAAACAACGTTCAATCTGCATGAGATGATGCTTTCAGGACGGTAACGCTGGTAGGGAGACCAAGGGAAAAGGGATGGAGCTAAACAGTCCTGGGGTAGAGTTTGACCTTCCAGCCAGATTATGACCCTGTAACAGGTGGCTATTAGCTGAACTGCTCAGTTTAAGACTTGTTACACCGGCTTAGTCAAAACCAGACCTTAATCATGATGGATGTTTTAAAGTTCTGGTGTGTAGAAGCTTGAGCTATTACAGTCAGAACAATCGGCCGAGCTTTGGCTGGATTTGACTCGGCTTCCTTTTTATTGTTCCAATTTTCTAATGTCCAGAATGCCCTGAGGGGGAGCAGTGGAAGAGGAGCCTGTCAGAGGAGGCCCCGCTGTGTGAGAGAAGCTGCCAGGACATTTACTCCACCTCCCCTGTCAACTGCAGCCGGTCCGCCGAAGGCTGCGTGTGTCAGGAAGGGCTTTACCGAAACCTAGAGGGCGTGTGTGTCATCCCGGCCCTGTGCCCCTGCCATGACCAGGGCATCGTGCGAGAGGTAAACCGACACCTGATGGCCAGTTAACCTGGCAGCTTGTACCCATTGTTGCTGCATCATTGTACCGTGGATAGGGTGTTTGTATTTCATCCCATTCATAGCGACTGTGGTACTTACTCCTACAGAACAGCCTGTTAGGAGATGAGCGATAAGGCTTGTGGGGACACACTACACCAAGGCCTCTCCATTCCCTCAGCCTCATTCATTATGTAGGCAGGCTTGTGGAGATTCTGTTCTCTGACCGCAACTGGGCAAGCCTGCCAGGAATTATTTATGAAGGAATGGATATTAGAGCGTTATTGAATTAATCAAACTCTGACAAGCAATCATTCCTTCTTTTTTTTCCCCTCTCTCCTTACTCATAAGTCGGCTGTTCAACCTCTTTTCCTTCTATCCCTCTCTATGTTTTAGTCTTAGCCTCTTTCCCCGTATTCCTGCTTTTCTGTAACTTAATGATGACTTGTGGTCCCATAAAGACCAGATTTTTTTAGTAAACGCCTGACATGGTTCAGCTCAGTGGGAGCAGGTGCTTCCGTTTTGGTAAAACAGGTCAACTCAATTTGCATAATACTTATACAGTTTCCTTATTATTATGTCTAAATGTAAGAATATACCTTGTTAATATTGGAATCTTCTTGATTCATTTTGAACTAACTTAGATTTCTTATTCCTACTCTGAAGCAGCACTGCATAAATTGATATATAAGTAATTAATTTACTAAATTACTGGATTTCCCTTGATTTGAGCAAGCAAGACAATTTTCAAATGGAACCAAGATGATTTATGTTTAAAATGAAATAAAAACAACACCATTATCTTTTCACATATCTTATTGTATTTGCATAACAGCCATTTGTCATTTTAAGGTAAAAAATTCCTAATTTCATTGGCAGATAATCATATTTACCTGCACAAATTAAGGGAAAATACACTTTTTAAAAAGCAACATTTATGCATTTTTTAATTATTTAACTGATATTTGAAGTGTGAAGTTGAATTTAAAATCCACTGACTACAGACTGGTCCTCTCAGTAGACAGAGGGGTACCTTTTCTCTATACTTTGATTATTATGCTAAAAATACATGTGTAATCCTCTTTACATTAAATCAACTAGATTTAGTGGAAGCAGGAAACATAACCTGGTTTAGTAAATTAGACTCACAGTTTTTACGTGTAAATGCCTGAGCTTCATGTGTTTTTTTGTTTGTTTTTTCATCTGTCTGTGAGCCAGGCAGGATCGGAGTGGGAAGAGGGCTGCCTAACATGCACCTGCATGAACGGAAGGAAACTTTGCCAGACGAGGTGTCCTCCGCTCCAATGTGAAGAGGTTCGACACACAAACCAACCAAATCATCATCATTTAGTGGTGGTGGAGCTCATTTTTATCCCTGCATATGGTTTAAAGTTAAAGCAGATTATTTCTATAGTTGTCTTTATATACAAGACTTTAGACTCCAACCTTAAAACCAATTTCCGATTAATCAGAATACATGCTTGGTGCTCATCAGCTCATACTAAAAGAAACTACAGTATCTTGATATGAAATATGTTGTTTCTAATTTGAACCTGAATAATTTAGGATTCATTTATCAGAACTAAAATCTCAGTTCAATATTTCATTAAGACACTCCCCTTCACTATAACTGGAAATCAATTAGCCATAAAAAATGGTAAATGGCCTGTCATTATATAGCGCTTTTTCAAGTCAGGAGACTTGACCAAAGCACTTTATACAATACACTGTCTTGTCCAAGGACACAACCACACTGAAAGCCGAAGCCGGGGCTCAGACCATCAACCCTTTGATTTCAGGGCAACTCCTACATCCAACGCCACTGTCACCCCTTAAGAAAATATTTTACCAGAATCCAGTTCTCTTTATTGTTGTGCCTTGGTCCCAGTGACCTCACCCACCAGCTGTATCCCCTATAAGGAGGTCTGTATTTTACAGTGGCCGAGAGGGGTCAAGAACATCTAACCAAATGGCAATGACAAAAGCCTAAACATGGCAACAAAAGTCCTGACAAAGCATTAAAAGCTGCGACAGGGCATCAAAAGGTGTGACACGGCAACAAAAGCAGTGAAAAGTCCAGGGTTCGTACACCTTTTCCAAAGTCAAAATCAAGCACTTTTCAAGCACTTTCAAGATCCATTTTAAAACTGTTTCCAGCACCTTACGGAACCAGTTTTGTGCGGATGACGGCCGGGGGCGGGGGGGGGGGGGGGGGGGGGGGGGGGGTCGTAATGAATACATAAAACTAAATCCTATCTTAATTTGTCAGAGCACACAAGGCAGATATTTATTTTCTTTTATTTTCTATAGTTCACCAATGATGAAGACGACCGAACACGTTTTTTTCCCCCCACACGTCTCCTCGGATGATCAAAGAAAATTACTCCTCTGCCATGGCGTAGTAATATAACCAACCAGAGGGTGTCGCAATTCAGTATTATCAGCCGTAGAGCTATCAGTGCTGTTTTAAGGTCTGGGCCTGCCGATGAATTAAAACTTCGGGGTTTTTTGGGTTTTTTTTTTTTTTAACGTTGGCGAGGCGGTAGCGTGAGTTTGGCGGGGCGGCTGCCTCGCCAAGATAGTGCTGCGGGAAACACTGCAATACTAACATTACATTATCACACCGTACTCTCAGTCACTATGACTTACCCTTCATGTGACTCGACTCGCCCATTGTGAAAAGCTGCACATCTTTTCTGCAGACTTTACAAGAGGCAACTCGTGGGGTTTGTCCCCGTTTAATCCATAATTTGTATTTTTCATCTTCCAGCCAACGTTCATTGAAACGACAACCTCCCGGCATGGTGCAGTAGTGGTTTGATGGGGGCGGAGTCACACATGGAAATAGACTGGCAGATCGCAGTCACACCTAAGCGAGCAGGTTTCATTTTCTGGCTCTCCAACATTTTATTTCTCCATTTAATAAACACACGATTCAGTTAGATAGGTATTTGTTGCGAAAGAAATAGTTACAATTTCAAGCATTTTCAAGCATTTCATCCAAAATATAAGCACTTTTCAAACCTTGAAAACACAACCTCAAAATTCAAGCATTTTTTTTTTTTTTTTTTTTTTTTTTTTTCTTTTTTTTTTTACAGTGTCCTGTCTGGCAAGGTGGCAATAAGAATAATTGTCTTGATGCCAAAAGGAGCCCAACAGATTTTACTTTCACAAGTGTAGCGGTATCGCAATTGCCATACCGCTCCACTTGTTTCATGTATATAAATTGCTTTATTATAATTATGCAGGGAGTTTTACAGTTCATATGGACACTGCAATGTAAGTAGAGCAGAAAAACAGAAGAAGAAGAAGGAAAAAGAAAAAGAAAAAAACAGGACAAAAGATGAAAGAAAGAGGAGATAGGAAGGAGACAATGACAAAACATTTTCAGTCTGCTTCAACACCTGTAATGAGATGGAGAAAAAAAAAAGAAAAAAGAACAGCACAACCAAAAAACATGGTACGAGATATACAATAAAGCAAACACCTTGAAACTATCACTAAAGTAATATTATTAAGTCTGACATGTACTCTGTGTTACCTGAAGATATGAATGTGGGGTTTCTGTTTGGAAGTGAATCTCTAAGTACCTGAAGCCTAGCACCTGTAGTTGTTTGTGAGGGTGAACTTGTGCATGTAAAGTTTTAACCATAGAAAAAAATGCTCAATAGTGGTTGTGGAGAGCCGGAGAGGCACACCCCCCAGAGCACTGAGTCCAGCGCCGGGAGACCCAAAGCCCCAGGCGCCCAAGGGGACCCCAGAAGCGAAGGCACCAAGGCGGGGCCAGCCCCGGAAATCAGACCCCACCAAGGCAGGAGGAGAGACAGCCACGAGGAAGCCCCCCAGCCACCGCCATGCCGGCGCCCCGGGGAGCCGCGGGGACGAGTCCGCGGGCCCCGCCGGCAGCCGGCCACCCCGAAGTAGGGCCGGGCGCCGAACACCAGCCCCCCCACGGCGCCGACCGAAACGCCCCAGCCCCACAGAGCACCGAAACACGCCCCGCCCCCCCGCCCCCAGCCCCGGCGACCGGCCGCACCACCCACCGCGACCGCCCCACCCCGGAAAACACGAAGACGGCCCCGCCCCCGGCCGGGGCCCCAGCGCCTCCGCCGCGAACCGGCCCCGCGCGCCGCGGGACCCCCCCCAAAACGCCCCCCCGGCCAAAAGCGCAGCCCCACCCCACCAAGACCGATGCCAACAGCGCGCAACGAAACACACCGCGCACAGAATCAGCCCGAGAGCAGAAAAGCCGCCCGGCGCAAAACCGCAAGAGGAGCAGACCGCAGCCGGCGCAACCACCCCCCCCAGCAGCCCGAGGGGCAGCACAAAGCCAGAGCGGAGCGAACCGCGCCGCCCCCCCACCGGACGATGCCAAAGCAGCCCAGCCACGTCCGCCACCCCCCCCCGCAGCCCGCACCAGGCCCCGACACGCGGCCAGAGCAGCTCCGCCGCCCCGGCCCCCCACCACGCGCCGGTCATAGCCACCCCAGGCCCACACCCGCCCCGCAGCCCCACCCGCCGCGATCAGTGGGAACAGAGCAGCCCCGCCATGCCTCCAGGAGGGAAAACCCACCCGAATACCCAGCCAGCGCAGCCAGCCCGCCCAGACCGGCCCCCCAACACTACCCCCGCCGGAGCCGCCCGGACCCCCACACACCAGCGGCGCGCCGCCAGCAGGACCCCCACCCAGCAGGCCCGCCTGCCCCCCGAGAAAACAGACATGCCAAACCCCCCAAAGAAAAAAAGAGAAAAAAAAAAAAAAAAAAAAGGGGCCCCCACAATGCGACAGCGGACACCAGACACCGACCCGCCCGCAACCGCTCCCCCCCACCGAGGAAGAGAAAAAAAAAAAAAAAAAAAAAAAAAAAAAAAAACAAATAAATAGGTAAATAAATAAATTAATTAATAATTACAATTAAAATAAATAGGCAAGAGGAGAAGTGCGAGCGGAAAAACCGGAGCCCAAAACAGGACCCAAGACCCGCACCCCACCATGCCGCGCAGCTCCCCCCCTCCCCGAACCGATACCACAGAACCGGCATAGGAAAGAAACACCGCCCAGGAACCGGCATCGTAGCGAAGGCACCGGCACCGACCCCGAAAATCCCCGAGCAACACCCAGCCCCACCCCGAAGCGGATCCAGTCCCAGGCCCCAGGGATCCGAGGCCCCAAGGGCACCCCACCCCCAGACAGGAGCCCCAGCAAAGCCCCGGCCGGCCGGGGCAAGTGGAGAGGCCGCCAGGAATGAGCCAGCAGTCCCCCGGGCATCCACCCCCAGCTCCACCAGTGCACCGGTGAGCCCCGACGCCAGCCAGCGGAGGGAGAGCAGGACGGGGGGAATGGGCTCCGCACTTAGCGGAGACTTGAGATGTATTTGGGAGAGGGTGCGGTTGAGACCCCAACCTGGGAAAGAAAAAAAAAAAAAAAAAAAAAAAAAAAAAAAAAGAAACACACCATCTCAATCATGCCTGCCCTCCCTAGTGCCCCCACTCGTACCACAGGAAAAAAAAAAAAAAAAAAAAAAAAACATTGAATAAAATAATAATAATAATAAATAAAGAAAATAACAACGCAGACACACATTCACACATAACACTCACATCCAATAATACCAGGACCAAAAACCCGGTGACACCGGTGGTCGGTCCCGGGACTATCGGATGACCCCATAAGTGAACCTAAAATCCGGATGTGAGGGGAGGGGAGCGGCGACACCGCCACACCAACCCATCTCTTTCCTGCTTCAAGCCCGGCCCCTCACCCCGCACACGGACCGGACCACCCCCCGCAAGAGCCCCCCCCGGGACCGGGGCCCACCCATCCCGCGCCGGCCACCCAACCAGAACCGCCCCCCCCCCCCCCGAAAAAAAAAAAAAAAAAAAAAAAAAAAAAAAAAACCTTCAACCAGGCACTTCATGCCCCTCCATCCAACCTTCTTTGGGGAGAGCAGAGGTGACAGCCCCGCCACCAGCAGGCCACCTAGGCCCCGCAGCCAGCCCCAGCCAAAACCACGGACCAGGTGGCCCGCTCTTCCTCCAGGCCCCAGACTCCAGGCGGCAGCTGGAGAACAGGGGTGTGAGAAGACCCCGATCCTCACTGCGCCCGCTCGAATGTGGTGTTGTTGCGTGTTGCTCTCAGATGCAATTAAAACTGGGAGTACCAAGAGGGGGTGTCCGGCACACTCCACCCCCCCCTCCAGGAGATAGACGGTGCCAGCACACCCTCCCCCTTCGACAACCCTCAACCCTCAATGTCTAGATGCGAGAGGGGATGGAGGAGGCCGACCGTGGTGAGGCCCATAAAATAAGCCCCC